ATTTATTATACATAATAATTTATGCACTTGTTATTATGGGAATTAATTTGCCCATAATGTAACTCTTTGTTATTATTAATAATTTAAAAATTATTGTAATGTAAATAAATACCTAGAAGTGTAGTGTGAGGCAAATACAAAAATACTTAAAGTAATTAAATAAGAAAATCTAGAAATCTACCTTTATCTTTATTTCAGAGGTAGTCGAAAAATTCACTTGGTTGAAATCGATTGAATAGATGTTTGCCAAATAGCTTTTGATTTCCTTACCCTGCCATATTCATTAATTTTATGTATACCCATTTATAAAAAATATTGAAAACGATCGTTATGTTCTAGTATTGAAAGCTTATTTACATATTCATGCAAATTGCTGACATTTGATAATAATTTTTGAAATCTTTCTTTTTAAATGATGGCAGCACTATTCAGTACAGTATTACAATTTCTAATTAAGAGCCTTTCAATAAATCAATTTTTTTTATTACATAAATTATCGTATTTTTATAAAGTGCTGAAAAATTAATATTAATACCAACAATGTAAGCAAAAGGATTTCTATTATATCGTAAACCATTTCATTTCCACAGTATAAGCGAATATTTTCCAAATTAGTGTTACACCATTAAAGAGTTTTTCATTTATTAAAAGTGAAACGATTCGCTGGTCTAATTTTATACTAAAGTATTCTATACTAAATTAAATAAATCTGGATGCTATTTTATTGTGTAATTCCCATTATCAATTTATCAAGTGTTCGATAATAAAATATCTCACTTAGTTTGTATAACTTCATTGAAATGAATAGTATTTTAAGGAAATTTTATTTTTTAATGAATTAAAATCGCATGAAACGTAATATCAACTTAAACCTTTCATTGAATTATAATCATCTTAAACATCAAGGCATACAAAATTATTAATATATCAAAATATGTATTTATTCTAAAAAAATCATTAACATTAATTGAGACAATATTTAGTTTAAATGAATAATTTATTAATATTCTAAATCATCTGAAAGGGCTCTAACATTACTTGTTATTAATTAGTTGTTTAAAACCTCATGTAAGTACTAATATTATTAATGAATACGGACAATTCAAAAAGTGCACGTAAAACAACATGAATATTAAATGTAATTTCGTATACGTCATTATTCATTACACCAATCAATATCTGAATAACAAAAGTAAAATTCACGAAATACTTTAATGCAATACATATTTCATACAAATTCATTGAGTATTTCATGCATATGTGATATAAAATTTGGCTAAATTACATTAATTTCATTACACTTGAACGATAGTTATATTAGTTATGCATGATGCAAAGTTTTTATTTAAAACTTCATAAAAAAATATACAGGTACTTAAGTATTTATTTAAAATTATAAAATAAAGTTAGTAAAGCTTTACTTTATGTATTTACTTTGCGTTAAACCATATACAAAAACATAAATATTTATTAACTGAATATGTATAATAATGGATTAATAAAATAAATTAATAAAATAAATAATAAAATAAACATAAATTATAATTTAATTAAAAATTTGTTTAATTATAAATAAAACTTCATACAATTCAATGAAAATTATTATAAACAAAATAATTTATGTATAATAAAGAGTTTATATATATATATATATATATATATATATAGATATATATAGATAGATAAATATGCTCCCAGTTTATATTCAGTATTTACATATTATTCATTGAAAATTTTAATCAATCAATTATTACTTTTATAATAATTTTCATAGTGAAAATATAGAGGGTTTACTGAGTTGACAAAATGAGTGCACCAGGAATTCCTAGTGATCCTTGGATGCATTTGAAAATTTGTTTGAATATAAAACAACATAGTTTGCTACAATATAATGTTTATGACAGCATACACATATTTGGAAAATTCGCGATTTTTAATTTATACTTTATATTTTATATAATTTGATATAATTTATTTTTTATATTTTTATATATTTGTATTTATTATATATAATGTTTATAAATTTAATTTATCTCAAATAAAAAATATTTTAAAAAGAGTAACCTACGTTTAAATTTAAGGAATAAAAAATAATAATTTAATATGTACAATAAAAAATGTTTTATCGAAGCAATTAAAATGAATTGTTTTGATATAAATAGTTAAAAATTTCGATTTTATAACTAATATTAGAATTTATTATTAGTGAAAATAGTGAAAAATATTTATTATTTTTTATATAAAATATCATTATTTTTTTTTATTGTAGATATCTGAAGAAAATATGCATTAGATTAAATAAAAACTTAATAACAAAAACGTTTTCAATTACTCTTATTCATCATTCTTCAAAAATATAAATTTTCTTTTATCATTTTATTACATCATAATAACTTTGAATAAAATTAATAGAAATAATGAAACGTTTTTTATAATTTGAATTCTAGCTTATAGAACATTATTAAAAGCTGTATTTGTCACTGAAGTTCGATAAATCCATATTGACTTCCGCTATTATGAGTGAAGTTTTTTAATTACTAATTGCTTTAATAATTGTAACCTTCGCAATTATATCAGCTTGCCTTCTTAACTGCCTGTATTATAAGAACTTATTTTCCTTTTTTTTTTAATCATATCTAGCATACTTTTAATAGATTTAAATCCTAGATTTTCTCGGTCGGTAAGTGATGTTGTTAATACGTATTTCTGTAAGTAAATGACAATATACTACAGAAGATGCATGTATCATCATTGCTATTCATTACAGACTTTCATATAGTTGAATATATAATAAATTACTTGTTGATGAAAGAATGGTCAAAACAATAATTGGTTAATTTGAAAACAACTTAAAAATTTGTCTTATTATTCAAGTGGTATAAGTATTATTTCATATTATTCTAATACAAAAGGTCATATTAATAAATTTAATTAATTAAATATTAAAATAAAACTTAATTCTATAAATTTTTAAATATCTTGGGACCACTTTCAGAGAACAAATTCATTCTATATATTATTGAATATAATTAATTAAAAATATTCTTAGAACTCTTTATCGAATACTAATTTTATCATTAATTAATTATTATATCTTATTAGGATTTATTCATTCATTATTAATATAAATAGTCAAAGAAAAATTATGTTATCTTGTTTAATTAATCTTTGTCTATACTTCTAGTGTGCCTATATTTATCTTGTCTATAAGTCTTGTCTATATTTCTAGTTTCATAAATATTTTTTGTCGTAACACATTTTACTAATAGAAAGCTAAATAATTATTGAATATTTTATCACTAACGAATTAATTTACATAAAACTATTGATATATATAGAAATTCAGTTTTCGTATCGAAATCTATGGGTAAGAATATTATTAAGATTATAGCAAACAAATCATCTTTATATAGCACATTAGCTTACAGAATTGCAAAGACTGATATACGTATAACAATTAAATTTCTTAAAAAAAAATTTAATTCAATTTTTAAAAATAAATAACTTGAATTTTAGATAATTTAATTTAATTGCTTTCACTCCTTAATATTTGTGAAAACTGCTATATCTTATAAATTTATATACTGCATATTCTAAATATATATAAATAAACATAATTTATAAGTTACATTATTAATTTCTAGATTATGATTTTATAAATTGTTTCTTTTATATATTATAAGAATATATATAATATAAGGAATATGAAATTACAATTATACGTAGAATTTATTAGTATATTTGATCAACTATAATTGGAAGTATAATTTATTATTGTAATACTTAATTTGAATCAATAATTGTTTTACATTTATTTAATTATGAAGTTAAATTTTCATGTCAAAACATAGAGAGAGTTTGATTGTAAACTTCAGAAACTATGTTTTTAAAAATTGATTAGCCATATTGATATATGAACTTTTGGAATATTTGTTATTTTTATTATTAATAATAGAAAAAGACGTAAAAAAAACTGTAACACGTTACATACTGGCAGAGCTTAATTAAAATTGAAGATTAAAACAAAAAAGGGAATTTTATGCTACAACTTTATTTATAAATAATTATTATAATGTAATTTGTAGGGATACCAATAATATATAATACTAATGAAATAAAGCGTGTTTGATTTTTATACATTTTTATAAATTTTTTTATATTTCTATTAAAAAGAAAATATTGATATCTTGTAGTCTATATAGAATGTTAATTAAATTAAATGGAACTATAGATTATCTATAAAAATTAAAAAATTGTAAGAATTATTATAATTCAATAAAATTTAAATCAATAAAAGTAACTGCAATGTATTTCGTAGTTGAAAAAATATTAATAATGAGTTTATATTTTAATTACATGCAATATATTTGTCATATATATAATATATTTATTTATATATAATTTAAGTCAAAGTTAACATTTGATTATTAAGTATTTCGTATTCGATTGATTATTATCCTTTACCAAATTTTGCAAAACGACAAAGAAAATTATATCCAAACACAAAATAGGATTGTTTACTGTCTTTATAATAATATGTATTCTTCTTCTAGAACTATAGATAAAAATTACTAATACCTTTGAGTATAAAGATGATTTTTATGAGTTAATTTTCAATTTATTTATTGAATATTACTTACAGAATATATAATAAACAATTAATAATCAGTATTTAACGGCTGAAAATTGAACAGTTTCAGTATTTATAAAAATAGATTCATAAATTATTATATAAATTTTGTTCACTTGTATTTGAATAAAAGTATCTATGGCATATTTGTTATTATCGCCTTAAAGCTTCAATTTATATTACATTATTATATTATACAAAAATTAAAAGAATCAAGAATAAATATTTGAAATATTTGATTTATGTAAGTAAATTCAATCTAATTTAAATAAAAAAATCACCGCATTCATAATGATTTTGGAGTGGAGCGAATATTCATGACTAATTATTAGAAAAGTCCATAATCAATAAATGAGCGATAATTACTGACCTTGTATGGGAAAGGTGGGTATGCAGTCGACGCGGACCTCGGACATAGCCCCATTGTAGGCCTGGCTGATGTAGACGAAACAGTACTCGACGTAGCGTTCGGTGAAGAGATCGCAGTCGAAAGTGAGCGTGTGCACACCCGCGGGCGCCTTGAGTTCTGCGACGTAGTGGAGACTCGAGGGCGGTGCCAGAGAGTCGACATCGGCCCGCAGTCGGCCGTACACGCGCACCCGATCACCCGCGAGTCGACAGGCCGGGTACTCGAACAACACCGAAACTCCACCCCCGCTTCGTCCGCTCCCGCCTCCTTCACATGGGTAGACCGAACGTGCATGCACGTTGAACACAAAAAGATCTGACCACTCCACCTGAGGAACATTCGTAGTATTATCAGATGACCATCCGTACCTCAGGGATTTTTTAATTCTGTTACTTACATAATTTGCTAAGAAAATCTATACTTTCAGCCGCTTGGAAACTCTGCCAAGCTTGAGGCTGTATCGCTTCGCCATACATTGAATGGTTAATTTTACATTTTATCTCTACATTCATTTTATTATACAGATATACGTTTAGCCCACCAATACATATTCATGAATATATAATAAATATGTTCAATATACCAAGTTTACGTTTGGTAAAGAGGCCTTGTCTATCCACAAAGTCAAACTGGGTTCAAGATAGACGATACTGTTAGTTTCGTTTTTTCGTAATACGTCAATAAAATGCAGGCTCCCAAATATCGTTTCCTTCGAGTTACTTTTAATTTTCGTAGTTTTCTATCTATTATCTTTCTTCTTAAATGCCAAATCTTTATTTATATAAAAAAATTACTAATCGATCATTTTTCATTTAATATTGAGAATGTAATAGTTCTGAAATTTCACAACAGGGAGCGAAAAATTCCATGATAAAATTCAAATATATAATCACGATGCATAAATTCTAGAAATAAAAGTCTCCGTATAAAATGTGCAGTTTGGCTATAATTTTTGTAATCTAATATTGTGTATGATATAATCTGAATGATTTGAACAAACAATAAGTTTAGCTCATCGGAAATTTCAGTAAAATTACTCCGACTCAATACATAAAAAATGATCGATTAGTAAATTTTTTTATAAGCTAATATTAAAGTTATGTATTTCATTTAATTGTCGAACGATGTTCAGACAGCACATGATACTGAAATTGATCTTGCGAGAGAAACCGAAGTTCAAAATCCAAACTGAAGCCACTAATTCATATTGCTTACTAATTAATTAATTTGATTATCTTTCTCAAGTGTCCTATCCTTTGCATTTACTTTTTACAATAAAACAAAGCGACAATTTTTATTGGCATAGTAGGTAAACGAATTATTTTATGGGCTATGTAATTTTTTAACGCTTTAAAATATAAATTAGATTTATGAAATTAACAGATTTTTAATAAATTTACAGATAAATAAAAAAATTTTTTTTAAATGATTAAAAAAAAAAGCTTATTAATAAATTATATATCATTATAAAACATAATACATATTAATATATTATAAGTTATATAATTATGTACAATAAATTACTTTTTCCCTAATTTTTTAGCATAAATTTTTTTATGAATTAATAATAGAATTTGATACCTGTGTAAAATGTGGTGTAATTTTAGTATTGTTATACCTTAATATAAGCGCTGGTGGTAGGCGCACTGGGGTTAGCATCAGAAGGTTTTAGCCTGAGGGCGTAGTGTCCGGCGAGGCCAAAAAAATCGCAACGTAAAGTGATGACCTTCTGCGTGGGAAAGCCTTTTATTTCTTCGGTGTAGAGCATCTGTAATGTGTCGCCAGTGTGTGATTAAATGCATTTTTCTTTTCTCATAATCACAGTGTGCATGACTTTGCAAAGTCTTGCATATTAGTTTGGATTGAAACGCGTTTATTCATAACGATCAGCTTTACTTTAATAAAATTTTAGAAAATTAAATTTCACACTACATAAGGGAATTGGAAGTAGTCACAATTATTTAAATATTTAATTATAATGTTAATTTTTGTAAAAAAAAACGCCAATCCCCACATACGATGTGAGTAAATTATAATGCAAATAAAACATTTTACTATAACATTTATTGAAGTACTATAATTCTACATAATGCATAATCAATAAGCAATTAATTAATTTTTTTAGTATTTTTCCAATAGTCTTTAGCAAGTTTCTTAAAACAAATTTGTTAAAATTTATTCTTATATTATCGTTCAAAGCAAAATTTTCAATACCAATCATAGAAATAAATTAATCATTTTGCAGAGTAAGAGTGTAAATGCAATTTACCTGCACGTGACTTCTGTTGCGAGGATCACAGGATAAGACGCTTGTGCCGCAGTAAATGAGCTGCACAGAGTAGGTCGGCACGGGTACACCGATTGACGGAGCGCACGATATGCCTGTGTATTCGAGAGTTGCGAGTACTGATTGACTGGGGTACGTGTCGAAATGCTGGGGTTCCAGGGCGAGCGACGGCGTTGGCCATCTCACGTCAAGAGTCGTGCGCATCTACGGCATAAGTGATGTGTTTTGTAACTTAAATGACAGTCTTGTCTACTCAAATTCGATTATTTTCTGAATTCCTATTTGCTCTATATTTATATTTGCTGCTTTCGCGAAAGCTTCATGTAATGCTTTAGCTTCAATTTTATCTACGAAAGCAATTATCATTAGCTTTCTTCCATTGTAGGTACTTGAACCATTACTATTGACACTTTCTAGTTGGTATCGTAATCTTTTTAAATATATATTTATACTTAAATATTCTTAACTATAGTTATTGTATGTAACAGGATTCAATAGTTTCATTAAATGTAGTTATGCATCAGCGTTTAATCATTTTTCGAACTTCGCTATTGTGTTTAATAACTGTTTGTTCAAGAATATAAGAAAACTCCCAGCTCATTAAACATCTGGAAAAATCGAGGTAAGTGTTCCGAAAAAGGGAACTCTCGCCTAGTGCAATCATACATATAACAAAACTACTCTTTATTGAATACATGTACTATCTTGTCCACTAGCCTGCAATCCTCCTATCAACATCGGGAGCTCACATCTAATCTTAGTTACTTGGCCCTCCTCGCCCGGTACACAATGTTTAAACACTTGTTTAATAACTATTGTATTTAAAACTTTTTAATATTATTATTAAATGATAAAATCAATTAAAAATTGTTTGTATTATTATTCAACTTATATTTTGTATTAATTGTAAATAAAATTTATATTTAAAGGATGTTTGACAGTTGTTTTCGACAATGTTAACATCTACAAATAGTTTTCATTAGATTGAAATTCAAACTACATATTATTTATTTATGAAACATTGACGCGATAAATGTTGCATAAATAAATTGTATACACAATCATTAGTAAAAATATAAATATATTGAAATACTAATTAAAATATTATTTGTATATTTTTAATAGCCATAAAAATATTTAGATAATATAATGATAAATAAATGATTTATAATTATTTAATTAATATTATTAATTTAATTATCATTAAAAATTTGTGAAATATCATATGTATATATAAAAAGAATTCTTTATTCCCCTTTTTGAAGAAAATTCTTCAGATGGTTTGTATGTGTTCAAACTGTTTTATATTACTCCAGTTAACTATGAGTTAAGTTAAACTGAATTAAATTAAAATTAATTAAACCAATAATTAAACAGTAACAAATTATTATGTATAATAATTAACTACAAATAGAAGTAGAAAAGTGATTTAAACTTTTATTCATTCAACATTAATTCTTTAAAACATTAATTTTTTAGCAGAATTTATTAAATTCTTTCTAAATTTTTAATAATGAAACTATAATATCAATTTGTTAAATTTGACGTATTCATCTTTTTTATAAAAATGTACTTTATTTTTATGACAGATGTAATTTATATTATAGAGATCATTTAATTATGTTGAATTCTCCAAATTTAAAAAATAAAATAATATAAGGAATAAAGTTTTTAAACTTATCTATAGTCACTGACGCTGAAAATATAATCAATTGTAAGTGAAATTTAGATAATAACATCTAGATGTTATACTATTCTATTGTAACATCTATATAATAAGTATTAATTTTATTCAATATAATAGATTTCATATTGTAATCAACTATTTATTTAGAGCCAAATATAAAATTATGGCTCCTTAAATAATTTATATTATTGTAAGTTTATTAATGCAATATGGTTTTAATAATATTAAAATGTACGGGCAATTTAAAGTACGTTTAAGCTTTATCAACACTACGGTGAATGTTGGGTAGGTGCGTATGCACGTTGGTGTAGGTAAGTACGCATATTTACATAAATGTAAAATGTTGCAAATGTGTAAGTACGTATGTGCACTGACAGCATAGGAATTTCCCAATGACTCATCAGAACGTGAATAAGTTAGCAAGGGTCCATATATCGTTATCGTCCAGACTGATGGATCATCCCTTCAACCATTCTGACTAATAAGTCGCACGGGCTTGATTGAGCTCTTGTCAACCGACTCCCTCTTCTCGCACAACGCATAGCATTTCGATATTTGTAAGGTAAGAATGTTTTATATTGTTGCACAAATAGCGATAGTGTCTGAATATACAATATAGGTTCAATTAGGTATTAGTTCAACTACAAGCCTAGTAATAATAGCATATTAGTACATTATGATATAACTTGTAAGTTTTATAATGCTATTATTTTTAAATTAGATCGCTATGCAATTAAAAATTATATTTAATTTTCATCATGATAGCATCATAAATACATTGATATAAAATTTTATTTTATACATAAAATATTATAAAATTTTATTATAATTTTTTATTTCTTCCTAAGTTAAAGAGTCCGATTTTTCATAGTGTAAAGTTAATTGAGTGTGGGTCTAAATATTACAATACAAATTAATTAAACATTTATAAATTTAAATATTATATCAAATTAAAATTTATTTTTACATAATAATAATTAAATTTGATATTTTCATTATATTTAGATAATAATTTATGTCAATTTTGAAATTTTCGGTAAAATAAAAGTAAAACTTAGTAACTTATTTTAACGAATGCTTTCATTATTATTTAATTATATTTTTACATGCGATTGATTTTAATTTGATAATGCTTAAGCAATATAATATTTAATTAATATTATAAGGCTTACCTAATTCTTCCATTTGTGTTTCATTCTCTTTCTGTATTTCTATTAAATTTTTGAGACTATTTTCTCAGTTATAAAAATTACGACTACTTTAATTGGATAAGTACGTACAATGTAACAAATTAAATTTCGATGAATAAAAAGCAGACAAATTTCCATAAAAAAACACTCTTAAAAATCTTCAACAGTCTCGCAATAATATATATTTCCGACAAGTTGGGTGAAGAGTTCACATGAATTTAAGAAAACGTTACATCTCTTAATCAATTAGAGATTTTAGTCAAAATCATGGAACTATTGACCAAAGGAACCATTACCTGTGAATCATGAAGGCTGATAGTATCTGTGAATCGGTTGGGAACCGGAGCTGACTTGTGTTGAAGCTGTAGAGAATAAGTTCCACCACGGGAGAAAAAGCCACATGGTATTATTAGCGAAACATTAACTCCGGCAATATTAGGCACGTCCACAGGCACCTCACCCACTAGCTCCGACGTGAAGCCATCTAGTCTTAGGATTCTGAAAGTAAGCACGTCTTTATCAAGTTTATGCTCTCTCTCTCTCTCTCTTTCTCTCTCTCTCTCTCTCTCTCTCTTTCTTCTCTCTACATGCTCCAATCTTATTATTATCATTTATTCATCGAGGTTTATTCAATAGTTACAAACATAAAAATTGCTATATTTAAATATTGAAAGAAAAAATATAGACTCACAGTTAAGTCTGAACGTAATAAATGACTAGATATAATACAAATTATATATTTCATGAACCTACAAAATTTAATTTGTATCTGTTTGAAAAATGTTTCTTAATCACTGTATTTATTCTGTTTTTATTTCTTCAAAGCATATTTAACCTAGTGTAAATTTAAATTCAAAAGTTAATTCCATTAAACTGACTCTTTTAACGATACCTGGACTTCAATTTTATCAGTCACTATTTTCTGATAAAAGTCGTTCTCTCCCAAACCAAGTGGATTTTACATGTTATTTTATCAGTCTATTTCAAAGTTTCTACTCGAATCGCTGGTAATGTTAGCACATCTACACCGAATAAGTTGTTCATCCTACGGTATATAAATTAATATAGAAACCTAAAGTTATTCATGGACTAAAATTCATTCTTGACTTTTGTTTAATTTACAAAAGAAAAGTATTAATGTTTGCTTCGTGAACCAATGTTAAGCGCTTTATGCACGGGCAGAAGTGTTAATGAAATTACAACAAACTTATTTATGATGATGAGTTCCATAGAATTAAATAAAATTAATCATAAAGCTCAAATATAAAACTGGAAATCCATAAATAAAAAATAAAAAAAATAATAAAAAATAAAAAATAAAAAATAAAAAAAAATAAAAAATGAAAAATAAAAAAAAAATAAAAAATGAAAAATAAAAAAATATCGAATTATAGACATAAATTGATATTGTACATTCGAATAATAATTAATTTTAATATTAATATTCTATACTTTTAATAAGCATTTATGACTTAATTATTTTTGAAACTTTTTAATAATTCTTATATTACTTAAACATTTAATTCTATTTTGTGTAAATCATCAATTATTAAATATAATTTAGTACAAATGCATGAATAAAGTTTTGAAATTATTTATAAAATTTTTATCCCTTTGTAAATTGTAAATGACTTCTTATACAAGGTAAATTTATAATAAAAAATAATAATGGTAATATATAATTATAACATATAAATTATAAAAGTATATTCCATAAATTGTAATGCCTCTTTGGCGTAGCTTACGTAAAATGGTAATAATTTAAAATTTAATATTATGCAAAAATCGTGTGTGTTCAACTAAAAACAAAAGTATGAAAAATTTTTAAATATTTAAAAAAAATATTTTTTTTATTTTTTACTACTTAGATTAATGTAAAATATATCTGATAATTTAAAAATATTATTATTTGTATGAAAACAGTATTATATAAATAAATACGAATTTGTTAATACTAATAAATTAACATAACATAAATCATGAATTAGATTGTATGTATTATGTATATTTATATTATTAATAAATTGTATATTAAAAATGTGAAATAACTTATAATTAACGTATTAAATATAATTTATCGACAGCTACTAGTTACTATAAGCTTCAATTACTAAAGCCTTAGATACTTTTAAATAAATATACAAATAACCTTAAGATAAAAGGATCCTGAATCCTCGATATTTGTTCGCTTTCAATACTGTAGTCTTCATCATCGACTTCCAAATCAATATCAACATCCTCATCTTCAACTGTTGTGAGAACTGAAATGGACGGTGTAGTCAAAGGATATGCTGATGGTAATTCGATTATAAGAACTCCAAGATCGCCAGACAAGGCTGTATGGGAAGCTGCCACTATAAGTCTTGGAGTTGATGTTTCCTCCAATGCCATAACGACAATTGGCCTTATCGGGGCTAAAAAACAGAAATAATAATAATAATTAATATCACTCTCTCCTACACTTATTTTATTTAACTTAAACTAAAATGAAAAAAAAATGAAAACAAAATGAAAACATTTGAAGTGAAAAAATAAAAGCTGATATGTTCAAAATATTATTTTAAAAGAGACTAATTTATGGAAGTAATTATCTTTTTACAGTTTCTTCATAAAAAAATTTTTCCATGTAATTCTTTTTTTTTTATTAACGATTAAAACATTTTAGTTTAAGACTTAGTGTTTTAGTATTTAAGCCTTAGTATTACAAATAATTTTGTGTCAATTTTTAAATATTTGTTACTACATAATGACGGCACTTAACTTCTGCATTAATAAACTAAATATTTATTTTATATAATTTGTAAAATTATCATCTATATAAATTATTAATGTTTATTGATTATTAATAATTTATTAATACAAACAGTTAATGCATATATTATGACTGTTAATTTGTTAGAAGCAAAGTTTTTACATAAAAGAATTTATTTACAATGTTACTGAGTCTAAAAATATTGATGTACAGAAATTTTAAATAATCAAAATTCAAGTATATATATTTTTTGAAAATAATATTTCTCATGGTTCAATATACTTAAAACAAAGTAATAAATTATTATTACTCAAGCAAATATTAAGCAATATTATTACTTATTTAAGCAAATATTAAGTTATGCATCAATTAAAATAAAGTTTACGTTAGTGTTATCTATTGCTAAAGGGTATGCATGGATGGATAAATGAATTTACTCTGAATTCATAACCATGTATCTCTCTCTCTCTCTCTCTCTCTCTCTCTCTGTCTATCTATCTATCTATCTATCTATCTATCTATCTACACACGCACACGCGCGCACATATATATATATATATATATATATATATATATATATATATTTGTACACAGCTATACATCTTCTCACTCTTACCCCCGTATAAGCTGATGTAGGTATCGATCATTTTTTTAAAGTCTGGTCTAATTTCTTTTAGTTTAAATAAAATAAAGATCTCGTAAATAGAAATTTTCTTAACTTGAAACATCAAATAGACACATGAAAAGTTTGTTATAAGCTTTGTAGCAAATGTTACATAAATTTAAACAACACAGATTGGTTAAACTAGACCTAAGCTTTGAACTTTACAAAAGAAATGAAATTTGGAACAACAAGTAGAAAAAAATATCCGCAATATTTTTAAAAGAAGCATTGTCCCTTCATTTTTCAATATCCATCCAATTAACCGTGCTAATATTTCATTAACGTGTGTTCTGTTATCTAAATAATATCGTTACAATTACCAGTAACTTTCAGTATTATTCTCAATCTAATTAGATGTTACATCATGTTTTGAGGCGAAACTGTAACTAAACTTAGAAAAATATTAATTTGGTTTGAAATAATAATAAAGGATCACGAATGAATTATAATACTTAAATAAATTAAGAGAAAATACTTTGAAGAATAATTTTCAATAATTTGCAAAAATTGTCTCGATAGACTTCGTATATCAATTGTCAGTCTTTCATTGTCAGGATTTATGCACAGCAATATTTATAATAACAGATTTATTTCTATATTATGATTACTTAAACATATTACAGCCATTTATTTTATTCTTGAAAACCTAGAGCATTATCTAAAAAGTACACACCTTTCCCATTTTCAAATTATGAAATTATTATATTTATTTCTATATTATTAATTTTTAAATATGTTACTATCAATTAATTTAGTTTTCTAAAGAAATAGCATTATCTATCAAATTATGCTATCTTCCGCATTTTTAAATGAGTAAACTATTATCATCAGTATCTCGAAGGATTCGCTTTGTTCTAATGATGGATCTTTCCTAGCCTGAGCCGAGTTTTTACTAACTTACTTCCACGTCTATGAAACTATCCGTAATGAGAACTACCGTCGAATTCGCTATTATATATAAATATATATATATATATATATATATATATATGTATATATTTACATGCTATATCAGCATATACTATTATATTTACTATTATCTTTAAAAAATTCACCAATTTTGTAAAATACGTAATGCTTTCTTTATAATTAGTTTATAATTATAAGTTGAGATTTCATTCAGTTCATTACTTATTTAGTTATTTGAGCATATACAAATATAAGTGAAAAATGTAAATTCAAATATTTATGTATTTAAACCATATTGATCTACTTAGAGTTTTAATTAATTTATACATTTGCATAATTTTATAATTTAATTTAAAATATGTATATGATTGTATGGTTAATAAACTAAATGTTGATATAATTCTGTTAATTATATATATAAATAAACTATAGTATCTAACTTTGTACACAATCCATGTTAACATATATATAGAATAATTTACTTAATTAATAAGCGAGCCCCTAAATATCTATTTATTTTCATAATAACTATCAGTATATTGGAGTTTTTAGTCTGACTTCTAATTAATCTAAAGTTAGTACAATATTTATCACGCTAAATTCACTGTCTCGGGTACGCATTAAAAAGTATGATTGAAGAAATTATGAATTATGATAATATAATTCTCAATATAATTCTCAATATAATTCTCAATATAATACACGTTTTTCTTTGTGAGTCTTACCAATCGATGCTTCTATACAAATACCTTTGTGAATACACGTTTTTCTTTGTGAGTCTTACCAATCGATGCTTCTATAACGTCGATTTCAATGAGCAAAATAAAAAATACGACTAGCGTTTCATTTCCATGACTGAAAAATACAGTGCAACAAAGTTAATTATTGTAATAAGATATACGTGCGTATGCGAAATATTACGTAACTAGATTAGTACACATTCGATGTAACTGCTCATGCCGGCACATTGAGGGAACTCTGTTATTTTTGCTTTCAACTCGACGACGTCCAACTTTATGCTTATATATTACACAAACTCTCGGAAGTTCTTACGAACTCTTAAGCGGAAGCATGCTTCAATCTTTATTCTTCTCTCTCTCTCTCTCTCTCTCTCTCTCTCGCTCTTCTATTTAATTATCTAGCCATAATTCTCTTTTGTATAACGTTTTATTAAAAAATACATGAAAAATAAATAGGTTAAATAAACGCATGTATTTACTCATCATTTGAAGCTTCATGTATAGGTATCTAATATCCGTGAATTTGGATATTGATATATAATTGGATGCTATTGCATTTAAATAAGAAAGTTTATAAATTTGAAAATAAACTATTCTTTAAAATACAAATAAATAAAATAATTGCAATAATTCTATATAAATATTCAAAAAGTGAGAGGGATATAAAAATAAAATCAAGAAACTAAAGTTAATTCTACTAAAGAGTAGACAATAATGCATAACAAAGTTTAATCTATTGCTAAACAAAATTTATTCACAACTCATTCAAAATTTATTTTTACATAAATATAAATGATATTATAATAATTAAAAAAATATATTATATTTAAAATGATCAAACTTTAATTAATTATGCAAATAGAAAATTAAATGCTAAACAAATATTCTACGCTACTTAAATTATCAATTTTATTCTTTTAAGAGAATTTGTAACTGCTTTAGATATATTTAACTCAGTGTATAAATATTTAAATTTAAATATTTCTTATCACAAAATAATTATATTTATTAATTGATTAATATAAATAAATTCAATATATTTAATCATTATAAGTATCTGTTTTAATTAAAAATCAAACAATAACTGCAATATCATACAAACATACAAACAACATACAAACATTAAAAATTCCATTATTATGTATAATTGGTTTCTTTATTTCATAAACTTTTAAAACTAAAAACCAAAATAATTAAATATTAAATACAATCGTAGTTGTTTCCTTCTTAATAGGCCATTGCAATTTTTCGTTCTATTCTGAAATATATTTTTATTAATTATGAATTTAAGATTTTATAATAAGATGGTACAATTTCGCAAATAATTTTCTCAAAATATATTTCTCAAAATGAAACACATTACCGAGTAACTGATTTTTTGGCACAAGTCATATATCGTGATTAAATTAAATACTTTTCAATATATGATTCTAACAGTAATTTTCATGATCTGTACAATATTCTAAACATCATTTGACTATTATTATTCTTCTCTCTCCAGTAAAGTTTTACTAAATATAAAAAAAGAATATTTGTATGACTACCAATTGAACGATTTGTTATTCAAATTTAGATAATAGAACGAATAAATAAAATTAAATTTATAAGAACCATAAATTTTAAGATAAGAAAAGGAAAGTACTTGAAGAGTAATGAATTTTGACAAGTAGTTAGTTAATTTGAGCATTTTCTCTTTCACTTTATTATGTTTCGAATTACTATATATACATAATGCTGTTGAATATATTTAACAACATGAATTTCGAATACATAACTACCATACATTATTATTAATCATTTTTATAATTCTATTCCTGCATAAATAAAAGGCACTTTTAATATTGTATTTTATATATTCAACCATAAAGTTAAGCCTATTTTATTTTTTAATTTTAATGTAGCTTCTCATACAATAATAGCTGACTGAGTTAAAGGAGAACTAAATATTACGATAGATAGAAAGCAAAATAAAAGAATGTGGAAGAAATCGTACGTAAAACGTTTTGAAAAATGGTAAGTTCATTCGGCTATATTGTATTAGTCGTTTTCCATGATTATATTAATTGTTGACAGTTATAATAGTTCACAACATTTGTTTCTCTGAATCTCTTCTTTGAGACATTCCCATTTCAGCTATGTGTAATGGTAAACTGAGATTTTTAAGCGGAATGCATAGATGCATTTTTGAAATAAAAAAATTATTAATATTACTGTGAAACAAAAAAGTTCAAATTGGTATTTTATTATATAGTAATAAAAAATTTAATTTTACGGTCTATTCAATTTTTAAGATATTGTCCTTTTTATATATTTATTTCAACACAAAGATTTGCATGAAACATCATTATAAAAGTATATGACAATAAATTTATATGCAGATAGATATATATATATATATATATATATATATATATATATGCAGATATATATATTTGTTGTTGTTATTAAGTTTCATATGTTATGTATATAGAGAACAGTTCTTATAAACAAACATTTTTATTATTTCATATTAATATCTTTAATTTATAAATATATCTTAATCGTTGTATTAGATTTATGATATAATTTAGCTTATTATCAAATTCATTAAGAAAACACACTCTTTTAAAAAGATTGCTCATATAACTAATTTTGAAGAAATACCAAATGCATGGAAAGAAGAGATGATTATCAAAGAACCAAGATTATTCTGAAAGTTATTGAAAATGACAATAATCTTCTTATTTTCTAAAGGCATAACGGAATATGTATTTCATTGTATTAATTTAATCGTTACCGAGATAATCATTCTAATCTAATTGTGATAAAAATTCAATTCTACTAATATATTATACAATAAATATATAGTAAAGGACATTATTCTTATTCGGTTGGATTTTATTTAGTTAATTTTTATTTAACTGCGCGGTTACCAGTAATCAGAAATGACATGCACACAATGTATGAAATTGTAGAATGCATATAACTAATGATATATTAACCTATAATTAATATTATCATATTATGAAAATTAAAAAATAGTAAATTTCAGTTTGATAGAAAATAATTTTATTATGTTAAGCTATATAATAGAAAAAAATAATAGTTTTTTTTATTAAATAATTGCTAAGTTACAACAAACATAAAAGTTCTATATCAAATTCATATGCTATATTATTTAACTTTTATTCTGATTTAGTGCTCTGCACAAAACTAATTGTGTAGAAGCAATCATAAATAATAAATAAAAGATTATCTGATCAACTATAATGATGTTTTAAATGAAATTGCAATTCAAAATTGTATTCATAAATAGTATTGGACAAAGTGTACAGAGCTTATTAATATAATGTGAATTATAGAATACAATTTACAAATTAAAAATTAATTTAAAATTTTTTATCTTTAATATATTAGTATTAATCAAAACAAAATTAAAATAAAAAATAGTTTATTTTATAATTTTCAATATTCTGAACATTTAAAAAGTTTTATATTATTATTTTACAATTTTATTTAGCATAAAATTTTTTAATTGTTTACTAAATAGTCTGAATTATATTATTAATTTAATACAAATAATAACAAGTAATAAATAATTTTACTTTTACAATGTTTTGTGAAATTAATAATTAAGTTAATTATTAGCTCATTCCTGTGGAAAATATACATATGTGAATAATTAAGGTACTTCAATATACTCTCTATTCTACAAAAAACATGAAAGTTCTGTAAATAGATTTTCAATTTCTAATTTATTATTGATATTACTGATATTTTAATACTCTTTACAAAATATTATTAATTTGCAATTGAATAGAAAGGTATCTTTAATATGAATGATATTTAATAACATTGCAGTATATAATACATATAGTATATGTTATTAATTAGTTATTAAAGAAGAAATTATAAAATTTATCTAATAGAAGATTGTACTGATTAATTGTAATATAATACATTATATTAATATTAAATTGAAATATTATAAATAAAATATTAAATATATATATTGTCTGAGATCATACTAAAAAAGCTTCCCTGAGATGGTGAAGGGAGGCTTGCTGGCAAGTGGAATGGACAATGCAATAATTCAATACTGCCTTTATATAAGTTGATTTTCCCTTTTATTGAATATAATAAATAATGAATAGTTAATAATCTATGAATATCGAATGAGTGTATGATAGAATAAATAGGTGAGAGTTTCTTCAGCTAATATGAGTGATGATAATCTTATAAGTGTATACTTGTGGTATGGTACGTAATTGACGCCACCGATTGCCACGACCGATACGCTGAAGAGACCTGGGTGGTGGAGTTGGTATGTAACGTCACTGTTGAGGAGAATTGATGCCGCCTTTGCCGCTACCGATGAGTTGGAGAGGCTTGAGTTGGGTACTGGTGTATGACGTCACTGATGAGGAGAATTGATGTCGCCGTTGCCGCTACCGATGAGCTGGAGAGGCTTGAGTGGGGCGCTGGTGTATGACGTTCACTGACGAATGGCAATGATGCCTTGGTTTTGGTATTACTGCTTACTTAGTTCACGGAGTCGTGTTTTAATAGCGTGTGTAATAGCGTAGCTTACGTGTGTGGAGTCGATTTCGGTTGTATTGATGATACGTAAGGACGTGTGTAATAGCGTAGCTTACGTGTATGGAGATAGATCGGTGTGTATTGGATGCGATCTCTATATAAGTGGTATTTGACTTGTAGGAAAACGATTTGTGTGAATTTAAGGCGATTTCTGTGTATATGGGATTGACTTGTAGAACAATAATTTGATCTTGATGATTGCTTGATTGAACTAGTATGAGGATGAGACCGTCATGTACAGCTCCTTAAATATTCTCGTATAAACAAGCTGCGCCGAAAGTGCATCGGTGGCCGTTGCTATGCCGATATTTGTCGTAACGTCAACAGAGCATAGCCTCGTAGAGTTCATTTGTTATTACTTTTGGAATTATAGTAGTATATTCGAGTTTTTCTGTATAGTATTTTTTGAATTCGTTAGTCAGTTTTTACAAAACAAATGCTCGCGCGCTCATACCTCTCCCACTTTTTATTTTGCTTAGAAATTACTGCAATCCGTAACATTCCGCCCGCCATCATAAATTTATTGATGATTGATATCTGTATCTTCGATGGGAACTGGCAATGGAGAAAGAATGTGAATTGGTCTTGAAATTATTGAAGAAGTGGTTTTTAATGTCATTGCTCTAGTTAGTCCATCCTTTCCAGGGTGCAGTTTTATGACTCTAGCTAGCGGCCACTTGTATTGTGGTTGGCGTTGATCTGTGATGAGAACTAGTGATCCAACCCTGATCGTGTTGCTTGGGTGATGCCACTTAGAGGTTGAAAGGAATTGCTGTATGTAATGTTTTTTCTATTGCTTCCAGAATCGTTGAACTCGTTGTTGTATGAATTGCCACCTTGACATTATTGACGCGTTATGATCACTTGTAGATGAGTCAGGAATTGTGTTGAGGGGTTTTCCTATGAGGAAATGACCTGGAGTAAGTGCAGAGCAGTCATTAGGGGCGTCCGTCAATGGGTATATTGGGCGTGAGTTTAGAATGGCCTCTATCTGGTTAGTAATGTGTTGATTTCTTCAATGGTGAATGATGCTTCTCTTGTTGTTCGACTGATATTGAACTTGATTGACTTCATTGCTGCTTCCCATTTTCCTCCCATGTGGGGTGCTGCAGGTGGGTTAAATTCCCACTGCGCGTGGTCATTCATGAGTGTGGTTGTAATGTGGTGGTGTTCCTTCGTGTGTTGGATGAAAAGTTTTTTTAATTCCTTGTCAGCTCCGATGAATGTCGTTCCGCAGTCAGAGTGCATGACCTGTGGAATGCCCCTGCGACTTGTAAATCTTCGGTAAGCTGCAATGAATCCCTTTGCCGAATAATCACCTACCACTTCAATGTGTATTGCGGAGGTTGCGAGGCACACAAATACGCAAATCCAGGCCTTGTAAGTTTTTGCTCCTCTACCCTTCCAAGTTTTTATGGTAATGGGACCAGCGTAATCTACTCCAGTGTGTGTGAATGGTCGTGATCGCGTTACTCTTGAGGCGGGTAATTGTCCCATTAGTTGGCTGGCAAGGATTCCTCTTTGTTTAGCACAAGTAACGCATCGAAGGATGTATGATTTTACCGCTGATCTTCCTCCTATGATCCAGTAATGTTGTCGTGTGTATGACAGTGTAATTTGGGTGCCTCCATGAAGTGTTCTAAGGTGTGCTTGTTCGATTATGAGGTTCGTGAGTTGTGACTGTTTTGGGAGAATGGCTGGATGTTTTCTGTTTTCTGATATTGCCGCTTTCGTTAGTCGTCCACCAACTCTTATGATTCCGTGTGTGTCTATGTAGGCGGTGAATCGATGGAATGCGTGTGATGGGGTCAGGCCTGTTGTTTGCATTGTTTATAATTCTTGGGCTAGGTGTGCCCTTTGGGTTAGTCGTATCCATTGTGTTCTGGCCTGATTTAATTCATCACGTGTGAGTTGGTTTGTAGGAGGGCGTTTTCTTTTTAGGCATGCGATGAAGCTGATGCATGTTGCAGTTATTCTTAGTAGCTCATTCAATGTTGGGTACTTGTAAACAATGTCCCAGTCGTATTCCGACGTTTTGATAGTGGCGATTAATGAGATGCTTGGACGGGCGTCCTGGTCGCATTGGTCTTCTTTGTCAATGGGTTGTGTTGGTCACGAATTTGGAGTTGTTGTCCATGAGCGACCAGTCCACCATAAAGGGTGTGTTTTGAGTTGTTGTGTGGTGAGTTCTCTGGGTGCACAGTCGGCTGGATTTGAAGTTCCGAGCACATACCTCCATTGTGCTTCTACTGTGAGTTCTCGAATTTGTGTGACTCTGTTGCACACAAATTCCTTCCATCGTGATGGGTGAACCTTGATCCAGGTCAGTGTTACTCGTGAGACCGTCCATAGATGTATTGCCCTTATCCTTAGATTTAGTGAAGTTTTGATGTGCGTGGTGAGCTTTGATAGTAGTAATGCGGCAGTTAATTCTATCGTAGGTATTGTTAGTTTCTTGAGTGGTGCTACCTTTGTTTATGAGCATATGAATGTTACTGTAGGTTTATTGTCTTCATTGTATATTGCCATGTATATGACGGCAGCCATTGCTAGTTGCGAGGCGTCAGCGAATCCATGTAGTTCTATATTTGATGTTTCCTTTGTTTTGAACTACCGAGGTATGGTTAATTCGTTTAGTATTTGTAATTCTCTTGTGATGACGTGCCATCGATTGATAACTTGATCTGGCAGCGGATTATCCCATCCAACAGAATGGAGCCATAGTTCTTGGAGTAGTAATTTTGCTCGTATTATTACGGGAGATGCGAATCCCAATGGGTCAAACAATTTTGCAATGTCAGAGAGAATGGTGCGCTTTGAGGAGGTGGTTGCTTGGGGAGTCAATGATGTCGAGAATGAGAAGATGTCTTCGTGGGGTCTCCATTGTAGCCCTAGAATTTTTGTGGTATCTTCGGTCAAGTTGACAGACTGTTCCGGATTCGGCGGTGCCTGAATGGCGGTTATTACTTCTTCGTTGGTGGAGTGCCATTTTGCTAATGCGAATCCGCCCGCCATGCAGAGGCCCTTAATTGTGTTGCTGTTTCCACTAGTTGACTAGAATTGTCTGAACCGCCAAAGATGTCGTCTACATATCTTCCGTATTTGATGGGAGGTACAACGAGTGGATAGTTGTCTCCTTCGCCTTGGATGAGTTGAAGGAGTATTCGTACAGCTAGAAATGGGGCCGCTCTGGTTCCATATGTGACAGTGATTAATTGATAGATGACTTCGTTGCCCTGTTCGTGTATCCACAGGATTCGTTGTAAATCCCAGTTGTCTTAGTGGACCAGTATCTGTCGGTACATCTTTGTGATGTTTGTGGAGAATAAGTACCTGTGTTTGCGGATCCAAATTAATACATCTACAATGTCTGGATTTAGATTTGCGCCAGTGTGCCTTGTGTCATTTAATGATTGTCCATTTGAGGATGGGCTTGATCCGTTGAAGACCCCTCTTAACTTAGTCGTAGAACTGTCCGGGTTTAGTACGCCATGGTACGGCAGATAGTACGCCCTCTTGTTGGAATGTTAGTTTGCTGGTAGTCTTCTCATATGATTCATGTTCTCGTATTCTGTCATGAATTGAACATATAGTGTGCGATAATTATTGTCCCTTGTGAATCAGTTTTGTAGGCGCACCAGGCATTGATGGGCCACGTTGTATGAGTCTCCAAGTGTTTCAGGGGATTCTGTGAAGGGGAGTTTGACCTTATACCTTCCAGTGCTTACTCGTGATTGGTTTGCGATGTAATATTGTTCACACTGCTGTTGATCTGGATTGAGTTGGCCGCTTGGTTCCCATGGTATTTCTTCTATTATCCAAAATCGCAATAGTAGGTTTTGCAGGCTGTTTTCCAGTTCTACCGTGGTTATGGTCATTGATGTGGCAGTGTGAGTGTAGTTATCGGCTGGTCCAATAACCACCTAGCCGAATATTGACAGTTGTGCTATAGGTAGGTGTGTTGAGGACTTGATAATGTTGTGTTTCATTACTTGTCCATATGAATCTGCTCCCAATACGATGTCTATAGGTCTGGCTTTAGCGTAATTTTCATCGGCTAATGGCAATCCCTGGATGTGAGGCCATGTGCATTGTGAGAGGTCATGGGGACGTAGAAGTATGGATAGGGACTTCAGTATGTAAGCATGTACAATAATTGATTCCTTTGACCGCAATGATTGTATA